TGATATTTTGTTCAGAATGCCATGATATTCAAAGACAAACATAATTTTTTCTGAAATACTTAAATCGTCTCCAATGAAAATGTCGCAGCAATTTTTTAAATAAACACTAAAATAAATTGTTAGCCCGGCGCATCCACCATTTTTACACGAACTTAAAATCCATTAAATCGGTCCTACGAAGCGTCAGTTTGATGTGAAATCTTCTCAGGATCACAAATTTTTGCTGATTTTCATAATAACTGTTCAAATTCTGAAGGAACACACGATTTTCTAATGCTAGATTTACCTTTTTTGCGAAGTACTTTAAAGTTGGTCAATTCGGAGAAATTTCTCAAAATCACTAATCTGTGTTTCTCTTTGTCGGATTTCCTCAAATTAAGGGCAAAAACGCTCTTTTAGGAAAAAATAATGTTGCTCAAATTAGACTAAAAAGAGATACATTATTTTGTTGCGATTCTGTGGATGTTTTGGTATTTTGTTCAGAAACCCATGATATCGAAAGGAAAGCATTAATTCTTCTGAAATAAATCATCTCCTGTGAAAATTTTGCAACAATTTTTTAAATAAATACTCTTAAAATAAATTGTTATACCGGCGCATCCACCATTTTTCCCACAAAAATTAAAACCTATTGAACCGGTCCTAACAAGCGTCAGTGTGACCTGAAATCGTATCACGATCACGAATATGTACTTATTTTCGTGCTAATTACTCAAATTATAGAGAAACGTGAAAGTCTCATCAACAGAGATAATTTGAAACGGGCGATATCCAAAATTTTTTTTTGGGCGAAAAAAATGTGAAAAAATAAAATTCTTGTCTAGTTCCTAGACTAATTTTTTAGGGTAGAATTAATTCTTGTCGTTAGTTGTTAAATATGAACTCGATTTCCACCGAAATGCCCTTTAATTTCGTGTCTCAAAAAATATTCGTAGAAGGTACATCATTTCCCAAAATCAGTCTTATTTTATCAAGTGCTATTCCCGCCCACCCGCCCTCTATTTTCTTAGAAGGTGTGTGATTTGCCAAAATCAGTGTTGTCTTAGCAAATTAATAGCCCCGCCCACCCGCCCTCTGTTTTATTAGAAGGTGCGTCATTTGCCAAAGTCAGTCTTATCTCAGCAAGTAGTAGTAGGACGTTTTTGTAATTGTGTTTAGAAAATAATGATATTCAGGAAAAATATAATTGTTTTTACTTTGAGGAAATTTCTTAAAAATTCTTAAAACAAATGTTTTCAAAATAAATTGTTCTCCCGGCGCACCCATCATTTTTGTACAAAATTCAAAATTTTATCAGGATCACGAATATCTGCTTATTTTCGTATTAGTTGTTCAAATTATCGAGAAAAATGCGATTTTATAACTCCACATTTGGCATTTTTATAGAGAACATTAAAGTTGGAAAATTCGTACCAAAAGAGGATTTCTCTTTCGGAAAATTTCCTCAAAATCATCGATCTGCTCTTCTCTTTGTCGGGTTTTCTCAAATAAAAGACAAAAATGCCCTTTTAGAAAAAAAAAATTGTTGGGCAAATTTGACTAAAAAAAATTATATTATTTTCTTTCCATTCTGTGAATGTTTTTGGTATTTTATTCAGAATGCCATTTTATTCAAAGATAAACATAATTTCTTCTGAAATAAATCATCTCCAATTAAAATGTCGTAACAATTTTTTAAAAAAACACTCTTAAAATAAATTGTTAACCCGGCGCATCCACCATTTTTACACTAACATTTAAATCTATTAATTCGGTCCTACTAAGGGTCAGTTAGATGGGAAATCTTCTCAGAATCACGAATTTTTGTTTGTTTTCATAATGGCAGTTCAAATTATGAAGGAAAATACGATTTTATAATGCTTACCATTTTTATAAAGTACTTTAAAATTTGTCAATTCGGGCCCAAAGGGGATTAATCTTATGGAGAAATTTCTCAAAATCACTAAATCTGCGGTTCTCTTGTTGGGTTTTCTCAAATAATGGACAAAAACGCCCATTTAGAAAAAAAAATAATGTTGGTCAAATAAGAGTAAAAAAAAGTATATTATTTTGTTTTGGTTAATTTGAAACGGTCGATATCCAATTTTTTTTGTTGATAAAAATGTGAAAAAATTAAATTCCGCTAATCTAGTTTCAAGACTAATTTTATAGCGTTGAATTCATTTTTGCCGTCAATTGTTGAATATGCTGTTTCTTTTCGTGTCTCAAAAAATATGTTTTAAGTTTATCCATTTCAAGTCCAAGGTAGAGACTTCGCGTTTGTACCATTCGATTCCCTGGAGTTTTCTGGTCAAGCAAAATGACTTTGTATATCATTTCCCAAAATCAGTTTTATTTTAGCAAGTGCTAGCCCAGCCCACCCGCCCCCTATTTTCTTACAAGGTATGTCATTTCCCAAAATCAGTCTTATTTGAACAAGTACTAGCCCCGTCCACCCGCCCTCTATTTTCTTAGAAGGTATGTCATTTGCCAAAATCAGTCTTATTTGAGCAAGTACTAGCTCCACCCTCTATTTTCTTAGAAGGTATGTCATTTGCCAAAATCAGTCCTATTTTAGCAAGTACTAGCCCCGCCCACCCGCCCTCTCTTTTCTTGGACGATATGTGATGTGCCAAAATCACTGTTGTCTTAGCAAATTACTAGCCCCGCCCACCCACCCTCTGTTTTCTTAAAAAGTACGTCATTTGACAAAATCAGTCTTATCTCATCAAGTAGTAGGGCGTTTTTGTAATTTTGTTTAGAAAATAATGATATTCAGAAGAAATATAATTGCTTTTACTTTGAGGAAATTTCTTAAAAATTCTTAAAACGAATTTAATATTTTCAAAATACATTGTTGTCCCGGCGCATCCACCACATTCGCACAAAATTAAAAATTTTGTTTATTTCCGTGTTAGTTGTCCAAATTATCGAGAAAAATGCGATTTTATAATTTTGCATTTGGCATTTTTATACAGAACATTAAAGTTGGACAATTCGCACCAAAAGGGGATTTGTCTTTCGGAAAATTTCTTCAAAATCACCGATCTGCTCTTCTCTTTGTCGAGTTTCCTCAAATTAAGGACAAAAACGCCATTTTAGGAAAATAATATTGTTGCGCAAATTTATCTAAAAAAAAATTATATTAAATTCTTTCCATTCTGTAAATGTTTTGGTATTTTGTTCAGAATGAGATGATATTCAAAGACAAACATAATTTCCTCTGAAATAAATCATCTCCAGTGGAAATGTCCCAACAGTTTTTTACATAAACACTCCTAAAATAAATTGTTAGCCCGGCGCATCCACCATTTTTACACTAACTTAAAATCTGTTACATCGGTCCTACGAAGCGTCAGTTTGATGTAAAATCTTCTCAGAATCACGAATTTTTGCTTAATCTCATAATAACTGTTCAAATTATAAAGGGAAATACGAATTTATAATGCTAGCTTTAAGCAAATCTGTGCTTCTTTTTGTTGGGTTTCCTCAAATAAAAGACAAAAACGCCCTTTTAGGAAAAATATAATATTGCTCAAACTACACTAAAAAAATGTTTATTATTTTGTTTCGATTCTGTGGATGTTTTGGTATTTTGTTCAGAAAACCATGATATCCAAAGAAAAGCATAATTTCTTCTGAAATAAATCATCTCCTGCAGAAATTTCCTAACAATTTTGTAGATAAATACTCTGAAAATAAATTGTTGTCTCGGCGCATCCACCATTTTTACAATAAAATTAAAATATGTTAAAACGGTCCCAAGAAGCGCCAGTTTGATGGAAAAGCTTCTCAGAATCACAAATTTTTGCTTATTTTCATAATAACTGTTCAAATTATGAAGGAATCATTTTTATAAAGAACATGAAAGTTGGTCAATTATATTTATCTGACGGACAATTTTCTCCTAATCACCAATTTGTGCTTCTCTTTGACGAATTTTCTCAAATAAGGGAGAAAAAAGCCTTTTTCGACAAAAAAATTAAGTAGTTCAAATTAGACTAAAAAGTTATAATTTACCTTGCTTGAACACTGTGTTTCCCATTTTATTCAGAAAGTCATAATATTTAAGTAAACGCTTATAAGTTCTCCTAAAATATTTAATATCCGGCATAAATTTCTTAATAACTCTTAAAATATATATTCTTGCGTAAAATTAAATTTCGACTTGAATTTTTAAATCCCGAAAATTTCCAAAAATTTCAAAATTTGCAATATTTTTAAAGTTTACGTGAACGTTCGTAGTTCAAGAGTTAAACTTAATTATCAACAGCTTTAGAATATATTTATTAGAAAGTCTTCACTTCAGTGTTCAACAAAAAATTTAAGCTCATAATATTTAAGAAACTGTTCTTTTTCTAGCACAAAAAGCAGTGAAAATGGTCTAGATTCACCACCCTGGGCTACTTTTAAATCGAATTTTTTGCAAAAATCCCCATCCCTCTGCCGCGTTTGTTTTTCGCAGCCTTCTAATATCCATAGCGACATTGTCAAAATTCCAAAATAACGTTGACGTATGAAATTTCCGTGAGGTCGTGTGAATATTTCGTAGTTTTTTGTCCCAGTCTCAAAATTCATAGTGTCTCTCATTCCATTGGAAATCGCCAGCACTTATCGGCCAATATGTGGGAGGATATGTGTCGGCCGTGTGATGGATTCACCGAATCGCAATATATGAAACACCAGCCCGGCTTGTTCTTGCAGTCCCCGGCTGTGTTGAGGTTAATTGGATTTTCACTCTAGTACATAAGAGGATCAGCATCCCAAAGAACACGCAGACGGAGCCGTCAGTCGGTGCGCGGATCTGCGGAAGCGACAATGCCAAATCCCTGCGGCCTTTCCTCTCGGACGCTTTTATCGATGCACTTAGTACTGGCAGGCAGTACGTCACGAATACCTGGCGAATTGCCTGCCAATGCTGCCAAGAACAAATTGCTCTTCGGTGCATTTCCGCTATACTAATTAGATAACATTTACTCAGTTGTTAATGCCAGTTTCCTCATTGTGTGTTCTTGTTGCAGTTGTTGTGACGTCACCAACGACTTCCATAGGCCGATTTATAGTAGGTGAGTAATCCCCTCTTACACGGGCAGCCGGACGGTGGGGCGCCACCGAGGTAAGACGCCAAATCATTCCAATACAATTTTTAAACCTCGTTTAAAAAACGTACAAGAATTTCTGCAGAATCCTGACACACATTCGCGTTGTAGATCAAATCCCAACCTTGTTTAACTCCGCCGAATGATGCCACTCTAATCCATCACGGCTTAACCGCATCCATATTTTTCCCGAGTGCAGCCCGATGCACACTTTATCCCTCCCATCCGTTATCGCGGCTTACTTTTTGCCTAAAGTCCTCCCACAAAAGCGTAGTAAACTCGTGCCAGCGCCCATCACACAGCAAACATCATAAATAAAGTATCCCCGTCGTTCCGAGTCAACACAAATCCAAATGAAGCACGAATTATGTCCGGAACATCGACCCCAGACGCCGTTACACTTCGGACAGAATCCGAGAAACCGCACATAAAGCGCAATAATCTCGAGCTTACCAGCGAAATTATTTTTTTCGCTACGCCGGGCTTACGGTAACGTTCCTGGTCAGATCTGCTCGCGTAACTGCCCCTACCCGACTCGTTTATAATAGTGGAGCTCCACAAGGGTCAGTGCTGACTCTTCGATCCTTTTTTGTATATATCGACGATCTACTACCAACTTACAACAATATAAATAATAATGATAATAGTGACAGTGTTTGGAGGGACTAATCTCGAGCCGCTCGCCCTCCGTTTAATATGCGGCTCGAGTTCTACGACGAGTTGTTAATCCGGAATTGTGTGAATATGTTCTTAGAGCGAGATTAACTAAATCTGGTGGTGGCGGCGACGATGCCGGCCTTCCTCCGCTGCGAGGGAGACAGGTGCCTCTCTGCAACGTTAATTGTCTTAAACCGCTAATCTAGCATCTGCCACGTGCTGAGCCCCTGAGAAAACTCCAAACTTTGGACGCTTCTGTGCTCGGCTGACGCGTCGCGAAGACATCTCGGGGGAGAGGGGGCGGACGTTCCATCAGACTGAGGATTTGCGGTTTAGTGGGATTAATGCATTCTTGAGGAGGTTTGTGGTGACCCGGGTCCTTCGATTTTAATTGGGAGCGAAGCGTTTTTGGCTAAACTATCTGCATGTGGAAATTCCGCACTACTTCGGGAATCTTGATTTTCGATTAAAAAGAACTCCAGGAGTTGCTTTGCAAACGCCGGCGGCTTTATCCCGGCCTAGGCAGCCTGCCCCGACCTAATCCCATTAGGTGCAGGCGACTTCATTAGTTTAGCCTCGGTGTTAAATAATTTACGCGCTTTGTTGCTTCCGGGCACCTGGTCATATCGGGAATTTCCGGGCCGGCGAAAGTCCGAACTCCACCGGGACTCCTGGGATAGATTCAAGTGAAAACGTCAAAACTCCTCGAAGTCACGATGACAGTTCGCAGTATGTGAAAATTCGGTCTAGCGATTCCGGTCATCGCACTTGTTGCTGAAATGGGAAATTAAACGGCCGCACGTTTTTCGACGCGCCGAAAATTTGTTTGCCAATTAGGGCCGCCGCTGAAATTTCGGGGCTCGTGATTTTTTCATTTTGCGCGCTATACGAAAAATAGCAAACTCGCCTCGCCCGTCTTCGAAATTGAGTTCGGGAATCGCGGCTTATCGTCCGGGTTAATAACGGCATAATTAATGGAATCGCTTGTAAACGTACACCGGAATCAATTCAATTTGGGGTTTGGGAGTAGGAAGACGATCTCGTCGGAATTTTTAGGCGTACTTTGGGCGTATAAGCGTCGCGGCGATAACGAGGCAACTCGGAATGAGTAAGTTTCTCCCCCGTTTTCCGGCCATCCACCTCATCTTCGCGCTGACATTTTGACGTCGACTGTCAAACGCGAAAAGATTGCATCTTTTGGGAGCCTGAAATCCGGAGATCCCGGTTTTGATTGATGCCCGGGGAATTAATTATGCGGAAAACTGTCGGTTCTCAACATCGTTTCGTTGCGCCGCCGATGATCCTGGCGGAAAGTTTCGCGAACAGGGAAGTTTAAAGTAAACTGCCCGCAAACTATTATAGTCATCGCTATCGGTATTAACACGTAACGGGGGAAAGCGGACCGGATATACAGGGCGATTCACGGGTAATAACCGTTAAAATCACATTAAAAAATTCAAAAATATTAATTTATTAATCATGCTCCTTGTCATAGAAAGGGTGCGAACAACAGCAGTGTTCTGATTCGAATTTTATATACTTTTAAATGAAGTAAAATTTCGGAATTTCAGGCGCCTGACTAAATTTTCCCTCCGAGATTTTTTCAAATTATTCCCAAAACATGACAAGGGATCACCAATATTCTTTCAAACCACTTCAAAAATCAGACAAAAGGAGTCACCGAGATTCTTTCAAACCACTTCAAAATCAAAACAAAAGTACACCCCGAGATTTTTTCAAACTACTTCAAAATCAGGCACAAACAATCCCCGAGATTCTTTAAAACTACTTCAAAATTAACACAAAACGAGTCCCCAAGATTCTTTCAAACTACTTCAAAAAGCAGGTAAAAGGAGTCCCCGAGATTCTTTCAAACCACTTCAAAAACCAGACAAAAGAAGTCCCCCAGATTTTTTCAAACCACTTCAAAAGCAAGACAAAAGGCGTCTCCCAGATTCTTTCAAACTACTTCAAAAATCAGGTAAAAGGAGTCCCCGAGGTTCTTTCAAACCACTTCGAAAATCAAGTACAAAAAAGTCCCCGAGATTCTTCAGAACCACATCAAAAATCAGACAAAAGGCGTCCCCGAGATTCTTTCAAACTACTTCAAAAATCTGGTAAAAGGAGCCTCGAAATTCTTGCAAACCACTTCAAAAATCAAGTACAAGGAGTCCCCGAGATTCTTTAAAACCACATCAAAAATCAGACAAAAGGCGTCCCCGAGATTGTTTCAAACTACTTCAAAAATCAGGTAAAAGGAGTCCCCGAGATTCTTTCAAACCACTTCTAAAATCAAGTACAAAGAAGTTCCCGAGATTCTTCAGAACCACCTCAAAAATCAAACAAAATGCGTCCCCGAGATTCTTTAAAACTACTTCAAAAATCAGGTAAAAGAAGTCCCCGAGATTCTCTCAAACCACTTCAGAAATCAAGTACAAAAAAGTCCCCGTGATTCTTCAGAACCACATCAAAAATCAGACAAAAGATGTCCCCGAGATTCTTTCAAACTACTTCAAAAATCTGGTAAAAGGAGTCCCCGAGATTCTTTCAAACCACTTCAAAAATCAAGTACAAAAAAGTCCCCGAGATTTTTTCAAACTACTTCAAAAGCTAGACAAAAGGAGTCCCCGAGATTCTTTCAAACTACTTCAAAAATCAGGTAAAAGGCGTCCCCGAGATTCTTTCAAACTACTTCAAAAATCAGGTAAAAGGAGTCCCCGAGATTCTTTCAAACCACTTCAAAAATCAAGTACAAAAAGTCCCCGAGATTCTTCAGAACCACATCAAAAATCAGACAAAAGATGTCCCCGAGATTCTTTCAAACTACTTCAAAAATCTGGTAAAAGGAGTCCCCGAGATTCTTTCAAACCACTTCAAAAATCAAGTACAAAGAAGTCCCTGAGATTTTTCAGAACCACATCAAAAATCAGACAAAAGAAGTCCCCAAGATTTTTTCAAACCTCTTCAAAAGCCAGACAAAAGGAGTTCCGAGATTCTTTCAAACTACTTCAAAAATCAGGTAAAAGGCGTCCCCGAGATTCTTTCAAACTACTTCAAAAATCTGGTAAAAGGAGTCCCCAAGATTCTTTCAAACCACTTCAAAATCAAATACAAGGAGTCCCCGAGATTCTTTTAAACTACATCAAAAATCAAACAAAATACGTCCCCGAGATTCTTTCAAACTACTTCTAAAGCCGGACAAAAGACGTCCCCGAGATTCTTTCAAACTACTTCAAAATCTGGTAAAAGGAGTCCCCGAGATTCTTTCAAACCACTTCAAAGATCAAGTACAAAGAACTTCCCGAGATTCTTTCAACCTACTTCAAAAATCGGGTAAAAGAAGTCCCCAGATTCTTTCAAACCACTTCAAAAATCAAGTACAAGGAGTCCCCGAGATTCTTTAAAACCACATCAAAAATCAGACAAAAGGCATCCCCGGGATTCTTTCAAACTACTTCAAAAATCAGGTAAAAGTAGTCCCCGAGATTCTTTAAAACCACATCAAAAATCAGACAAAAGGCGTCCCCGAGATTCTTTAAAACTACATCAAAAATCAGACAAAAGGCGTCCCCGAGATTCTTTAAAACTACATCAAAAATCAGACAAAAGGCGTCCCCGAGATTCTTTCAAACTACTTCAAAAATCTGGTAAAAGGAGTCCCCGAGATTATTTCAAACCACTTCAAAAATCAAGTAAAAGTAGTCCCTGAGATTCTTTAAAACCACAACAAAAATCAGACAAAAGGCATCCCCGACATTCTTTCAAACTAATTCAAAAATCAGGTAAAAGAAGTCCCGAGATTCTTTCAAACCACTTCAAAAATCAAGTACAAGAAGTCCCCGAGATTCTTTAAAACCACATCAGAAACCAGACAAAAGGCATCCCCGACATTCTTTCAAACTACTTCAAAAATCAGGTAAAAGGAGTCCCGAGATTCTTTCAAACCACTTCAAAAATCAAGTAAAAGGAGTCCCTGAGATTCTTTAAAACCACATCAAAAGCCGGACAAAAGGCGTCCCCGAGATTCTTTCAAACTACTTCAAAAATCAGGTAAAAGGAGTCCCCGAGATTCTTTCAAACCACTTAAAAAATCAATACAATAAATCCCCCAGATTCTTTAAAACCACTTGAAAAATCAGGTACTTGGAGTCCCCAAAAGTCTTTCAAACCATTTCAAAAATTAAACAAATAGTATTTGATTGATTTAATTTGTTATTATTGAACAAATATTGCTACATTATACTTAAGGTTAACATTTCCTAAAAATGTATCTTATTTTTCCGAGTATTCCTTTCATTATATTACGCACA